TGCTCGTGAAATTCTACAAAGGTGCCTCGAAACGAGACCGAAGAAGGAGAAGAAGAAGAATACTCGAAACTCATAAAGAACGATTCCGCTGATGTCTACATGAATCAGGCCATTATCATGCAAACGTTAGAAAATCGAATGCTATAGAGAGACAATATTGCGCGTGGGAGGGGAAGGACGGAACAGAGAAGGAAAAGCGGAATGCCACGAATTTCGTTCGCATGGTTTCGACGATGGAGTTTCGCCGGGGACGGGCGAGTTGGTATCGCGGCAGTCTGGCCTGATAAAGGAGAAAGCCTCGATATTGGTCAGACAGTGGAATGCCCCCAGTTCGCGTCGGACAACAAGATTTCTCCTCTGTACCCACGTACCAGTCTCCGTCAGTCTCATGGGCCGATGGACGTGGAAGGAACCGAGTCCGAGGGAGAAGGGAACGTACGATATGGCGAAGTTAAAAGGAAAGTCAAGGGGATCGAAAGATTGCGATTGGGAACAAGTACCGTTAAGCGCCAATAGTCTGCCCGTTGTCACGATCAGACGTTCCCGCAACACGAAAGCCACACGCGTACCCCTCCTCTTGGACTGTCCTGGGTCCGAGAACAAGCTCCAGTAAATTGAATTTCAGGAGAAGGGGGGGAGAGTAAACAGTGTGGATCGTTGAGGAGAAGAGAGACAAGAATCGCAGCAGGTGTACAAAACGTGGTAAAAAAGAAGAGTGAGTTATATCGAGGTAAGCGAGAGAGAGAGAGAAAAGCTAAGTAAGGTAAGAGTTTGGGGCCGCGAAACCCGTTCGTTTCCTCGCAATTCAGCCACTTAATCGCCGCCGAAGAATGCGAAAACAAGGGGAATGTTATCGAGCGGAGTTAAACGAATTTGCTGAATAACCCCGGGACGTACACGGCGTTCGATTCGTCGACGCGAGGCTCGCGTGAAACCGCTGTCATCCCCTGCGCCCACCCATTTTCTGTCTATTTGTCGAATAAAATACGGGGAATTTGGCGAAGCGGCCGCATAAAACGCGCATTATTCTTAACTTTTTCTCGCTCGCGGATTCGCCGCCGGGAACCCCCAGGGCGCTAAGCAAATCTATCCCCATCAGACGCAGAACGACGTTACCCCTGCTTCCAGCAGTACTTCCGGACACCCCTCTGATTCTTCGCGTGCTACATAAAGGATGAATCGTTGGAATTTTCCAAGGCAGCCGGAACGATCAAACGATGATTATGATTCCCGGCGCACGGCACACCCTTTGATCCCTTTTATCGATAATTCCTGGCCAGAGCCGGTGGGTTCTTCGTGGTCAAATATTCCGCTTCGCAAATCGCGGACCTGGTCGTCGACTGGCGTTTTCTTTCGAGCAATACGAGAATTATTTAACATGAACGGTGGGATTCCGGGTCTAGTTTGACCCGAATTTTTATTCTATTTCAATGCAACACAACTTTTCCGATTTAATTTTTGCATTATCGTATTGACAAGATACTTTTGTTTATTATTATCATTGATTTTATAAACTTAGTGGCATTATTTTGTAGGTGCGATTGGAAAACAAAGATATTGGAACCAATTGTATTAATTAATAGTTTTTTGTTCTCCAATGTTTCTATATTGTTATTATTTGTTAAAAATGAAAACTTCAGGACCCTAGAATAAAATTTGTATGAGTCTAAATGGACCTGGAGTCTGTTGAAATAGTTTTTAGTTTAGGTATAATTGAGAAGGTTGGTTAAATTCGAATGTTCAATAAATTTCAATACTTGAAAAATAGCATCTACGATATATTTTTAAGGGATGTATTAAATGGTACATTATATCTTTGCATTGAAACCGACAAATTTAATAAAGTACACATAGATAAAGTACAAATGTATTATTAAATGTTTTAAGAAGTACATTAAAGTGTTGCATGTTAACAGCAACGAGAGATTATAATATGCATTTTATTCAGAATCAAATTCATTTAATTCATCGTCTTTCATGTTTAGCGTAATATGACATTGACTTATCATGAAAGTACCGAACTAAAGTGATATAGTCTTCTAGATAGTCTACAAGACTATTTTATGTTAAAATTTCACAGAGAAAAATTTGAATACAATATAAGTCGTGTATGTATCGACGTAAGATCGGAATATTTTGTCCATTAAATTGAAGTTTTACTGTATTTACCGGGAGGAAGATTCTTTACATTGTGTGTATCGTAATACATGCAACCTATTTTAAATAGAATACTTTAAAAGTATTTATAAATTTTGTGGTTATAAAATTGAGGTTTTACTGTATACATCGAGTTGAAAGTTCTCTATATCGTAACGCGTGCAGCCTATTTTAAATAATACATTTTAATAATATTTATAAATTTGGTACTCAACAAACAATCGTTTTTAGGGCCTCCAGAGATGAAAATCCGTTGGATTTAAATTTCGAGAACGAGCAGACTAGGCAATAAGACCTGCAGGACTTATCCGTCTGATAGAAAATCGTTCGTTCAAGAACTGTCTGGCTACTTGACTGAAATGGGACGGTGCACCGTCATGCATAAATCACATGCGACGTACAGCATCTAATAGAACTTCTTCCAATAATTCGTTTGATTGCACACGAAATTGACGTAAGGTTTCCCTATTAAACTCCTATTAGACACAACGAGGAATCATCGAACTTTGTAAATAAATAAACAGTTCAGTAAAATTACCAACACCAGCTCAGCTTGTAATTAAAAATTATCAGATAACAAAAGTGGCTGTAACTCCGAAAAAAATCGAATAGACATATGTTTATATGAACGAATTTCATAAGTTCACAAAAAAATTCGTTTAAAGATATGTTTTGCTTACTAAAAAAATATAATTTGATCATGATTTGAGCAAAATCGATTCATAGGTAATAATAGTTACATGTTTTAATTTTTCAAGAGCTAGAATATGCTTCAAACGTGTACAATTATTTCTCTATCTATTGTAGCAAAACTTCCCACAGACACCACCAGAGGGCTACGCTCAACACCTCTCTCACAAGTGCTCGACAAACTATCAAATGTCTCAATTCCTCCTACAAAACTAAACCTCCACAATACCAGTCATTTAATGCAACACATTTCTTCATTCCATCACACAGTAACCTCAACTCTTTTAACTGTGCAAACAATCAGAATTTTAACGATACTCGATTTGAAATAACTTTATATTGTTAAGAAATTACTCGAACGTCGAAACAGTAAATGACACTATTACTCAACGAATTTATATAGAAAACTGAAGGTTTGCATCTTGAGACGCAACTCTCGACGTAACTCAAATCAAAATTTATTTGCATCCTCTTTACGCGTTAAAAATAACGTTGTTGAAGACTTCAGTCGTTAACCCTCGTAGTTGTTATTGTTACTACTTGGACGTCGAAATAATAAATGACACCATTACTCAACGAATCTATATAGAAAACTGAAGGTTTGCATCTTGAGATTCAACTCTCGACGTAACTCAAATTTGTTTGCAAAATCGTTACTTGTAAAAGATGACGTTGTTGAAGACTTCAGTCGTCAACCCTCGTAGTTGTTATTGTTACTACTTGGACGTCGAAACAATAAATGACACCATTACTCAACGAATCTATATAGAAAACTGAAGGTTTGCATCTTGAGACTCAACTCTCGACGTAACTCAAATTAAAATTTATTTGCATCCTCGTTACTAGTAAAAAATGACGTTGTCGAAGACTTCAGTCATCGACCCTCGTATTTATTATGGTTCTTCTGTTCGAACGAGTCAAAAGTCCCGGAACAAACAAGTATCCCGCGCGGGGGCAACAGTTGTTGGACGACGGGGGGATGGCGCGTTAAAAATTCAAGGAGACGCTCGCGAAATTAAATATCGCGGGACCCGTACGTGACGGCAGATGAGCCGCGGAAACGCGGATGACAAATAAAAGGTTCGGGTCGGTTCCCTGAAAAGAGCAAACGCGGACAACCGGGGGGACGTCTGCCGCTGGAATGGACATGAAAGAAGGCCTGTCCTTCTCGCGCTCAACACGAGATATTAAAAACAAAAGTGGTCCGCGGGTAGGGAGGCCCCGCTGCAGCAGGTTCATTTGGAATGTGATTCGAGCGAACCGACGAAGAGGGTTGAAGTGCGTCACGCGGCAAGAGCGATTGTTTCGCTTCGCGATGGCATTGTTCCGACGTATACGTATGTACGTTCCGCCGCGTAGAGACAAGTGCGACCAGAAAACCGCGGCGGCTGACGCGTCCGTCAACGAGAAACAACAAAAAAAAAAAAAGAGAGAAATATTTACGCCAGATGCATATTCATGCGACGCGATGCTCTCGTGCCGGTCCAAGTGACGCGGATTAATATGCATAAAATCCTTGCGTTGCCGCGGAACTCGGAGACGAATTTCAGAATGTATCGTTACGATATCCTGGGAAGAAATTTCATCCTCGAGTCCATTCCAGGTTAGAAGAATTTTCTAGCTAAAGAGCGAGTTGGGAATAGTTTGAGGCTGAACTTCCGCGACGCGAACTAATATAAAGGGTTCCGTGAACGTGGGTACCCGGAAAACGTTTCTTTGGAACACGAGAGACTCGTCAGATTTAATTGTATATTATGGTCAGAACCAAAGAATAGTTTTTCGGAAAATATAGGTCTCAAAAACAATTTTAGCCAACGACAATATTAACAGACATTGATATTTTTAATCTATTTCTAGAGATCATGTCAACAACGAAAACTGGCGATTGTTTACGCTTTTAGAAAAAAGCAATTTCCGTGAGAAACAATTCACGAATCGTATTTTTCTGTGGGAAAAATATCGTGCAAAAAGATGGCTGCTCTGTAGATAATTAATATTTTGTTCCAATAAGAAATAGAAGTAATTGGTAAGCATTGATAGCTTCCGCGAAACCAACGCGGATAGCAATACAAAATATTACTAACGCCTTAGATGTATGTAATTATTGGGTTTCGTCGGTGATGAAGCTATTTAGTAAAAGAATGATGACTCACCGAGAACGACGAGCTTCACAGGTCTGCCGGAGAGAATTTTCCCGTGGTCATCCTCCAACGTACACCCCCATGTACCGTCGTCTTCTAATCTAACGTTCTCTATATGTAACGCCGCTGTGATGGAATCGCCAATATATCTGTGTCCAGTTCCACTCATCTCCGTTCTCGTGTTGATTGTAATCATATCCACCGGACTTCCCTCGTGAAGCCACGTCGCTGGCTGCACTCTGTAGCTCCTAACAAGACAGTTCGTGCCAATTAGGGAATTAATTTGGGAGGTAGGTATTGCCTGCTGGACGAATTTATTGCCGCGTCAACGTAAATTCTATCCACGGACGACGATACGGATTTTTCGCAATGTTTCTTTGCATTCGAAAACGTTGCTTCAGCGAAAGAAATTAACGTTTTTGGAGGATAACAAAGACTATATTTTTAGCTTTACTGGAAACGTATCTTTCAAAGAAATCGGAAAACTGTAATTATGTACGAGATTATGGAAGCGAAAATAAATTAATTAAACAAAATTCAATATACGAGATCTTGAAACGGAACGAATGTAAATAAACGTTGAATAAAAAAATACTTGCGAAAAAGTTGTGTATTTTTGTATTGGAGGAAAATATGTACCAACTGGAAGTTTATTGATGTTGCAATTAGGAGAATTACCTTCATCAGAGTTACGATGAAACGACGACACAAATAATTCAATCTACTGCACAATATACACAAAAACTTATGAAACGAATTAATAGAATTAATTCAAATTAAGAAACTTCACGAGGCGTCCTGTGAATAGATGGGGTTATACTAACTTAAAATAGTCCCACTTTAATTATTTATATCTTAAAAAGTGTCGAGTGCACCCATTTTACATACACCAAAAATGGTGACAGCTAGATCCTAGAAAACGGAATTCTGCAACACTCGACAAAACAATACCTGACAAAACTATTTCTTAACATCGAAGCAACATTTTCTGTGGTCTAAAAACAATTTCTTTCTAGACACGACGAAAATTCATCTTTCCCGATAGAAACGAACGTCAAATAGCGATTGCATTATCCAGGGTAAATAGACCGTTGCAGCCGTAGAAGGAAGCAACGAGAAGTCGTAATGAATCTCCTCAGATCCGTTCATGTACATTCCATTTGTCAATAAAGAACCCTAAATTACCTGGCCCCGGGCAGCAGAAGCCTCGAGTAATTTCCTTCCAGCTCGCATGGTAGTACGACCTGTTTGTGAGGTTTCACCACTAGTTCCAGGGGTGGCTCTGACTGCGCGGCGGCAGCTGTATCTAAGGAGACTGGAACATTGGTTGTAGCGGAGGAACTGGTAGACCATAAGTCCTCTTCGGGGGCTAAAAGTGCCGCGGGCTGCGCCACGTCGTCGGACAGAGAAATCAACGTCGAGCTGGACGCCGTTGTGCTCGTGGTGCTTGTCGTGGTTCTTCTGGCACGTCGTCCACCCTCCTGTCTGCCTCGAAGGGTGAACACACCAGCCTCGTTCACGTACCCTGTAACAAAACAGGAGACACCGTGATTTTTCTCTCCCCTCTCTCTACCTTTGATCGTTCGATAAATATGACATTCGAAACCGAGCAGCAGAAAAGAAACCGCGATACAAGTAAAGCGTTCTTAGTTAAAAACTGTTTGCAACTTCATTGATATACTTCGTTGAATGAAACGAAACGAAAGAAATGAAAATTCAATCCAATATTTTCGTATTAGCAAATATAAATCGAATACTGTTCGAGTGCGCTTTGTACATTTGACTATACGAATATGTTTGATACGTTTGGGTGTTTGAAGGGTAGTTGAGTGTGTATTGATGTGTATTTCTATACAAGTTCTTTAAGTTTGTCGTTTCTTTTCAAACTTCATTTTCATTTAAGGTGTCAGTCATGGATATCTGGCCAGTTATGGATTATTGTTTAATCGAAAAGTCTGGGTCTGCGTGATTGGTTGCACCCGGTGCAACCATGTGTCCCCAGTTTCAAACATGTGTCCTGTCTGCTATCCAGCTTGTGTCCTCCTTGTCGAAGCAATTTCAAACACTGATTTCCCGCGCAATGCAATTTAGCATAGTAAAATCACTATTGAACTAATATTAGTGCAACGTTTGTTAGTTTGATAGATATATTTATATTAACTGTGAGTACAACGTTTCATATAAAAAATACTACGTGTTTAATCACCCAGATAATTTGAATTGTTTCCTTAAATATAAAATTATATCATATAAACATTCAAACGTTTAAACGAAAAGAGGTTAAAAGTAGATGACCGTTCTTTTTACAAACAAAACTGTGTAAAAATATTTATTTTGTACATTTTATTTAAAAGTTAAATTATTTCCCTGCGTATTACGGTCAAGATGTTTTTCTTTATATTTACTGTTTTAACACGCTTAACACTCGCATTTGGAATTGACATGGTGCAGGAATAATTTATTACGCTGTACGTAATAAATCGTTTGAAGTATGGATGCTCGAGGGATGACGTTCGCTCGCTATTCAACTGTACAGCTATTTAATGAGACGAACACAGGCATAAAATTCGAGGGAACTATACTGTGAACGATGTTTCACGAAAGCAACGGTGCTTCTTGACTAAATGGTATTTCTAACGCTTGGTCGATTTTCCCGAAAACTGTCTATCACGTTCGGTCGACCAAGGCTGTGGAAGGAAAACTAATTATGACTTCGATGGACCGCAAATGGCTATAACTATCTAGCGCAACTAAGGCACTCTGTCGACCTGTCTCTACCCATCCTCTCGTCACAGCGTCGATAAACTATGGAAGAAGGAAATGTTTGTAGTTCAACAAATGATGATGACGCTGAAATTCCATCGTCCCCGATACTTTACGTTGCACAAACGCATCGCTTCAGTGCCTGTCATCCTCTTATCGACGAATAATTTAAATTAAGCTACCTTTGTCGATCAATTCGCGTGTCGTTGGTATAAAATTTAACACGTGCCGTGTCGTTTCATATTATGAATACACGCAAATACATTGTAATTAACTATTTGAATAGTGACAATTTATTTCTTTTCGTCAATCAAATTTAAATACCCGAGTGACATATTAATATCATTAAAGGTGACACGTTTATACAGGGTGTTAGGCATCAAGTTTTTGACTGAGGCTTCGTTAAAAAATGATTAAAAAATTAAAATAAAAAATGTTAAATCATTCTGAAAAAATTATTTTCAGCTGCGGGGGTCAATTACAATCATTTTTAGAATCTCCCACAAAAATTTTTCCCAGGGGTGACCGTACACTCTGTATATAGCTCATTTAAATAAAAACTATTGTAGCATACGTAACAGTCAATTCTAAATATAAAAGCGATCGTTGTTTATTTTTACAATAATACATTTTTCAAGTATTTCTGGAATAGTAAACTCTGAGATGGATCCATCTAGGAACGTTCAATTTACGAATCACCGCCGTTATGCTCCGTGACTCGTGTGTATCGGCCACGTGTCAGAGCAAAGCGCCAATTCGATTCGCCGCGAGCCAGTGGTCGAAACATAACGCGAAAACAAACAACGCCTGGATGGAAGAGTTGGAGCAAACTTGTGACGGGATCGCGATAACGTCCATTGGCGAACGACCCGTGTTCATCAACGTTCGTGGATATACGCAACTAGTTATACAGAGCCATCGAGTGGACGTTAGTTCGACGTTGATGCATGCATTATTCAGCCAATGTATTCATTCATTATTCATGTCATGATCAATGGATGTCAACAGACCGCGATCTGTATCTGAGCACGTCGCCAGGGCGGAAAGTGAAAGCACGTTGTCGTTCGAATGCCCCTTCGACACCGTAGTGGTCATCGTTCCTGATCGGACTTTACGAAATGACGGAACATGACACGCTCGACTTTGTCGCTATAGCAGATCAGTTACAAATCTACCAGATCTCGTTTGCCAGCGGATCGATAAGTCAACAAGCCGGACACGATAATTAGGAAATCCTGGTACTAATGGGAAACGTATAACTGGTTACCGATATTCGCGTTGCACCGTCACAATTATAACGGGCTACTGTAATATATATATGATACGCAAGGTGAAACGGGCTTTAATTAAATTGGCTGACGGAGAATGAATATTTTACGATCACGCGATCGAGACAATTCTCGACGAGCTGCAAACCTTGGAAAATCTGTACCGATTTTTGTATCATTCGACGTGCAGGTTTGAACGTTGACTGAACAATGAAATGTTACTTTTGACGATGGACAAAAATACAATCTTTAATCTCATTTATTTCTGCGTGAATACGTTGCAATATAAATATTAAAATATCCTCTGGATCACTGTATTTTCGTGGTAAATAATTTAATAATATGTTTTCGTTTAAATACCCTCATTGTAAACGTTTAATTTTCGTCAGAATATCGCGTGTACCTGTAATCTGAAATACTTGTTCACGTTTGTTATAAAGTGGATATTATTTTTATTATTAGCGTTATAGTAAACACGATTCTAGATTCGAGTGCATCGATGATTCTGGGAATGTGGAACGTAGTGGGAACCGATAGTAATAAATTCAGGATCGTAGAAATCGGCAATAGTAAATTCTGGAGTAGGAGGAACCAATAACAATAAATTCTGGAGCAAGGAAACCGACGATGGGTAACATCGAACCTTTGGAGTCGGTATCGATGAATTTCGAGTCTAGAGAATCAGTACGGTCAAACTTCGGGTCGAGAGAATTAGTGTAGTATGTGAAACATCGGTACTGATAAATAGTGGACGTCTAGTGGGTCGGGAATTCCAGTATCGATAAATTTCGAGTCGTGTAAGTCAGTAGGATCAAACTTTGGTTAAAGACAATTATCACAGAAACGCGAAACGTCAATGTCGAGCAACATTTGTTTGGAAAATTTGATAGACTCCGATATAATATTGATTATTAGTTCATTGTTCTCGGTTGAAGAGTCTTTAGAAAGTCTTTGAAAGAAATCTTTAAGCGTGGTCCTTTCTTCCTTTTGCCTTCTTAGCACGATTTTCCTATGGAAGAAAGGTAACAGAGCCATCCTCGTCCGGGCCACGAGCTTCGCGTCACGATGAAACTTCAGCGTGAAGAGTCTCGGAGTAACCACTTGTCCCTTAACGAAACAGTCACACCTCGACTCTTATTTTACTCGAAAAATACTTTACCTACTTTACTTTACTTTAATATCCTCATATTTTTAAGCAAATAAAATAAAACTTGAACGTGTTTATTACAACTTCCTTTGGACACGTCGAACGAATGATTATTATTTTTTAGCTTAATTAATTTTTCTATAAATAATCTCGTTAGAAGTTTAACATCTCTAAAATATTACATTAAAAAACGTGCTAGGGAAATATAAATTAATCGTTGAATAGCCTGTGTTGTGAGCCAGTGGCTCTATAAATTCTGTATCAATTTCGTCATTTATTAAAATCTAATGAGCTTTAAAAATTTATAAAAGATCAATTTCTATTCATTTATAAATCGTTTGTGTACAAATTATTAAATTTGTAGGTTCTTAAACAATTTTTAATCGATTACAGAATTGTCCAAGTTTTTAAAAATTATATATGAAATTTGTAAATTCTACAATTACTATTTCTCCAAATAATTTTTATCTGACTTTAATGACATTTCGATTTTATCTACGTTGAAATTTAAACACATCCTAAAGATTAATCGTTAGCCAAAGCGTCGAATTAATAAATCTTCGTTCTGTTTAGCTGTCACGACCACTAAAGAATCGCTGCTTTATTCCTGCAGAAATTGAGATATCGAGGCTGATCAATTTCGAGTAGTACGAAGCGGTAACCGATAAACCTGGGATCGCAAAGATCCATAATGATAAATTTCGGGTCAAGAATATCGGTTCCAAATAAATTTCAGATAACGAAAACCCGCCGCTAATGTATTCAAAGTCGTAAAAATCGGCAGAGATAAATTTCGGATCGCTGTAAGCTGTTACCAAGGAATCCTGTGTCGCAGCATCCGGCACGGATAGAGGGGGTCCGCCGTGCTCGTATCTTTCATTAATCAACCCTGCAGAACCTCGGTTACGGTGGCCTATTTCGACCGTGCGTCAGCCCCCGTAAGAAACATTTACAGCCACGTAAAATTCTTGACAAAGACGTTGCTCCCGTTGAAACTGCAAAAGCAGCTTACAATGAGCCGCAACAGTTTCACGCCTTAAAATTATAAAGACCAGAGATAACAGCGTCGGGTAACGTCTCTCGCCGCGTGTTTGTCCCTCGTTAGTTAGAGCCTCCTATTTCACGCGTGGACGGAATCGCGTGTACACGCGAAATTAAGGCTCTATGTATTTTAACACACGATATTAACACGCGCCTCTTAACCGAGACTCCTTATTTCACGTATACTTAAACCTTGTTTACTCGCGCTTACCAGCGAATCGTTAATACTTATCGGGTGTAAAAATACCAAGAATGATTTTATTACAAAATTTCGCAATAACAAATATGATTTTTAGACTGATAAAA